CTACAGATGATACTTTGCCTAGTTCCTAAAGGTTTTTCTTCCCTAATACTACATTGTGAGATGCAGTGGCTCAAGTGGTTAAGACGCTGAACTGCAGGCTGTGGAAGGTCGGTAGTTCAGCAGTTCGAGACCCGAGTGTGCCACATGACGGAGTGAGCTCCCGTCTCCTGTCTCTAGTTCCAGCTCCTGCCAACCTAGCAGTTCGAAAGCAAGAAATTGCAAGTAGATAAATAGGTACCACTTCAGTGGGAAGGTAACAGTGTTCCGTGCGCCTTGGTGTTTAGTCATGCCAGCCACATGACCACGGAAACGTCTTCGGACAGCGCTGGCTCTTCGGCTTTGAAACGGAGATGAGCACTGCTACCCTAGAGTCGGATTTGACTGGCTTTTGAGCAAGGGAAACCTTTACCTTTACCCCAAAGTAAAGGGAAAATTACATCAAGTGGTGATATATCAAGAGATTTTTAACCTCCATCTTGGGAACTGCCTAGCAACCCTCAAGATTCATTGGCAGGGGATAGAGGGCAGCACCAGGGTAGAAAGAATAAGGCAGCCAGGGGAGGCAGATGCTGAAGGTCAGCAGTATTTGGGCTGGGAGAATTCCAGGAGGCCCAAACACTGCTGGTGTTCTGTAACCACCAGGATCAATGGGCAGTGCCAGGGAAAGGACTGTTGATATGTGGGCATGACCACCAACAGTGTTTGGGCTGTGAGGCAACTGCCCATTTTTTACAAATCCAGAAAAAGTTATCTGATGGCACAGTGGATGAAATTTGTGGTCAGAGGCAGCTGAGGCAAGGACAATGCAAGGAAAACTGCCATGTGGATGCCCTGCTGCCACTGCAAATGTTTACGTATTAAGAGTGTAAAGGCTGGTTGCACCTTTTCCCAGATTTTTTCCAGGGTTCAGAGGGGAAAGGAGTTAACCCTCCCTATTACCCTCTCTAGGAGGTAACCTCACAAGGTCAAAAAAAATAAGCCTCCTACTGAAGGCACTAGCACTTCTCAAAAAAACACGGAGCCCTGCAGAATGCAGGGCTATTAATCAACAATTCACAACAGACTACAAATTGACTTAATGGTAGCTAGGCGAGGACTAGGCATCCAGATTCAGCCTTTGAGACCTGGTAACACAAGAGACTTGGATCAAGAGATGTACTTAAAAAATATTTTGGTTTATTAGGTGCACATAACACATAAAAATAACATAAGGCCTGTGAAGGGTTACAAAATAACAGAGCTAAGCTTATCCAGCCTTACTAAACTCTAAAGCAGCATATTACCTTCCCAGAGACAGTCTCAGGATAGCAGTCAGAGATATCACCCACATAAGCTGGCAGGTAACAAGAGCAAGATTGCTGATTCTAACAACTGACCCAGAGGTAGGCTCAGTCATACTAACCAGCTACCCATGATTAGAAAATAGCTGTTCTTAAGGAAAACTGACCCCTCCTTGGATTTAAAACAATATCCAATCATAGTTCAGAACAATGATGTCAGCATAAAGGGTTGCCATACCAATTACATCCCATCAGCTGTTAGGGCATGAGCTATACTCACACTCCCCCAGCCAGGTGGTACCAATTAATTGGCTGGAATGCATTACCAAAGCACGCTTATCACTTCCAGCTGAACACAATTCAGCAAGGTCACTAAAGGCTGGCCGTATTATCTCTATATCCAGGCAGAAGAGTTACTTGCAGGCCAAAGAGAGCATTTTTACTACAAACCCTAACTCAGATGTAAATTCCTAGGTTCTGAAAACACTTACTCAGACAACCATAACCTAGGAAGTTAAAGCAATAGGCACAATTTATAGAACCTAAACTATGGATTTAAACAACCAAGCCATAAGTAAGAACCATTTTCTTTACAGTGGCCTCCAAAACTGGGATTCCCAGGGGCCAGAGTAACTGTTACCATAATAGTGTCATAGAAGATTCTTCATCTCCCCCCCCCCCCATTTAATGAATGGCTGCCAGTCACTCTTTAAGTTCTGCAGCTGGGGACACCACTGCTTAAATGCAATCCCTCCCAAGCAATTCAGCTTCCACTTTCTAGTTCCTCCATTGAGAAGGAAATCAATGGTATGATGGTTTGCATGCTAGAGAACGTGATTCCCCAATGGAGGCACCTAGTAGTAGTGACAGGGTGCAGAAGGTCTCTTAGAAGATTTCTTAGAATATTCTGAACAGCAGTCCAGAAATGCTCTCATATTCCCTTCCCACACTTCTTCATCTGCTTCATACCAAGTTTGAAAACTTTCATCTGCAAAGTCAAGTCCCCTGGAATTCCCATCCACTTAAGACAGCTGTAAATGGAATACACGTTGAAGCTCAGAAGTGAAGTTGTTCTGCACATTTAACATACAAGCTATTCCCAGGAAGGTATATCATTCATTATTCACTAAGGGTTTCTCAGAGCAATTGGTTTGAACATGGAGGGAACTCTGACTACAAATGCACTGGTTGAAAGTTTTAAAAGGGCTTCCACTCTCTGGTAGGTTGCACACATTTGTGTTTTAACTTCAGAAAAGGAATTTGCAAGGGGAAGGCAATAGCATGCAAAGTTAGCATAACAATTAATTCCCAGTTAGGAGAATAGCTCTGACCTGGATGATCCAGGCTAACCTGATCTTGTCAGATATGGGAAGCTAAGCATGGTTGGCCCTGGTTAGTACTTGGGTGGGAGACCACCAAGGAAGTCCAGAGGCAGGCAACAGCAAACCACCTCTGAACATTTCTTGCCTTAAAAACTCTATGGGACCACCATCTCGGCTGTGACTTGACAGCATTTTCCACCACCAGGAGAATATTCCTTTAAATAGCTACCCAATCATACATTTACCCATTGTTCCTGACAACCTGACCTACCTCAAACAGCACTGCTAACCAAAGGAATGAACAGCTTTTATTCTGAGAACCACTAGGATTTGCACATTCAGGCTAACAGGCAGGTACATTTACACTCATGGCATTTCAGTCTGAGTCACTGAGAGGTTTGTAAGAATAATGATGAACAACAGTAGTCACTTCACTGACCATTATTATTATTATTCACTTCCCTAGCTGGAGAGTAAGATAGAATTTGAGTTACAAGATAACAGGCCAAAAGCAACATAAAGTGACAAATTCATGAACAGGATCTGCTTCCTAGAGTTGCCAGAGCTCTCGGAAAACTTGAACAGAACTTAGGGCACCCGGGGCTCCATTAACTGGGTTGCCAGACAGTATAGAAATACTGCACAACCCACTGGAAGCTCCAAGTCTCCTGGAGATGATGGAGCTCCAGTTTCTGCTATTCTGTTCCTCCACCACTCCCACTGAATGGTGACACTGGACTCCTGCTTGTTCCCACCAGCAAGGGAGTAGAGTAGGTAAAGGTACTGTTGAAGGAATGGGGCAGGAGAAGCAGGGGCTGGTTTCAGCTGCCTCTCCCAGACTTGGAACTTCTCCTTGTCTTTTTTCTGTTTCCACAGGATGATGAGCAGTAGGGAATAGACAGAGATTGATCCAACAGATACATGGCTGACATGGACCTCATCTAAGCAGAACAATTAGCTCACGTTGTATAGTATCATCTCAGTCTGTCATTTTTGTGCATTCTTATTTCCTTGCTGGCTAGCTTAGGGGCATTTCACTCATATTTAAACTTGTTTGGGCTTCAGTTTTTTAAAAATAAAAACAGAGCAGGCAGGTGAGGAAACCATGCTTGCACATATTTTATCTCACTTTGATTCCACCATTTGAAACATTTAATGTTCTCCAAGCAAACCCTGGATTCAGAAAACAAGCATGGGCCAGAGGAAACATAAGTGAATCAAAAACAAACCAATGGCTACATGAAGGGTGTCGTGCCATTTGCTGTTTCTGCTTCAGAACAGACTCCCATCCTTGCTCCCACTCGCATCAGGACCCAGCAGCGGGAAACAAGAGAGAAAAAATTCTGATTACCATGCCTCCATGGGTCCATTCTGCAAGGGAGAATTTTAGTGGCCTGTAAAACAGGATCTTTTCTTCTTTTTGCTTGTTCGTGGGCAAGGAGGATCCTTTGTGTGAGCAAAATAGCCCCGAATAATTTCATCTCAATTGTGTGGGTAGGGGAAGTTAACACACAAGAATATTTTCTCCATTGAAATCAAGCTAAACATCACCCAAACATGATAACACCCCTGAACATATGCTGTAATATTAAAAGAACCTGGACAAAATGGTATCGAAAAATATAAGCTGAAATCAAATTTGAGAAACAGTTCTGTGGATAACACCAATCCATATGTAGTTCAGTCACATCTGAAAAGCTGTTATAATGCTTAGGAAGACAAAAATTATCTATTTATTTATTTACTTCATTTAAACTCACCTTTCTCCCCAGTGGGGACTCAAACCAGCTTACACTGTTCTCCTTTCCTCCACTGTATCCTCATAAGAATCCTGTGAGAGAGACTAGGCAGAGGCTTCCACGACAAATGGGGGGGGGGGTTGAACTTGGTTCACCCAGATCCTAACCACCACACCACACTCGCTAACAGAATAATTCGCAATCATTTGCAAGACCTTAATTTTTACAGGTTGTGTACACAACACTATCTTAACTGGGACCCCTCAACTGTTTCTGAAAATTCCTATCCAAACTTAGCATATATTTTTTTTGAAATGCATAAAATTTTATGTATATGTAATTCCAGCCTTCCCTGAGTACTCTGAGAGCGAGAAACTTACTTTCCTTTAAAAAGGTATAGCACTGCCCATCATTATCTGAATATTCATTCATTGTGCCATGAATTATCAAACACAGGGATACTGGACCGCTATTAGGAACCGGAGACAAATAACGGCACCTTCTGTAACAGCGGCGTATTCTTGGCTCCACCAGAAATTACACACTTACCATTTTGGTTTTATCCATGGCCGACAGGACAGCAATGTTGAGCTGCTCCAAAGCAGACAGAACGTGCCTGTACTCTCCAAGATGTTCTGAGAAATAACCTGTAGGAGAAAACGTTCATGGTTAAGATTCCCAAACAGATGCCCAGAGCTTGCCTTTTTAGCTATTACTACATACAAGTTTCATCTCTATGGTTATTTAGAAGCTTCTATTAAGTTCTTCAGCACAGGCCTGGTTCATTGTCCCCCTCCTTCTCATGTAAGATGGCAGGGCTTTTTCCAGGGTGACCCCTCATTTGTCGAAATCCCTCTCTGCAGCCTATTTAGCTGGCACCTATTCTTCTGAGTATTAGGCAGTAGGGTAAATAGTGTGTGGGATGCCATGCCACTTCTTTTCAGATGGACCTAAAACCATCCCAATTATTTTTCAGTGGATAAAAGCCATCCCAGAATGGACCAAGTATAGTGCAACATACACACCCAGTCATAATTCTCAACAATTACAGAACAACACACCTATTTCTTTTTCCCTTAGTTGGGAAGTGAACGGCATACTTACCACACAACTTTTCAGTCTCCAAATTGCTGCAAGAAACAAAGAAAAAATAGTCTTATGAGAGGATGGGTCTAAACTTTAGGGAAAATGGTCAGGGGGCTAGAACTGCTGCCCTGTGAGGATTAGTTAAAACACTTCAGGCTGCTAAGTCTAGAAAAAAAGACAGGCAAGGGGAGACATGATAGAGGTTTATACAATTATGACAGCAGTTTATAAAATTATGCATGGTCTGCAGAGGGTGAACAGGGTGAAACTTTTCTCTCTCTCCCATAATACTAGAACCCACAGCCATCCCCTGAAGTTGAAGGGTGGGAGATTTGGTGCAGACAATAGGAAATATTTCTTCACACAATGTATATCTGTGGAACTTGCTGCCACAGGATGTAGTCATGGCTGTCTACTTGGAAGGTTTTAAAAGGGGAGTGGACCAATTAAGGGATGACTGGGCTATCAGTAGGGTTGCCAGGCCCCTGGTCCAGACAGGGGTGCCCCTTCTTTTGCAGGCCCCTTTCCGCTGCCGGCCACCTGGCCAGCGGGGGAAAACCCTGCCCACAAATGCCCCCTGAACGCAATGTAATAATGTCACCTGGAAGTGATGTCATCACATCGCCGACATCGGGGGGGGGTGATGCTCTAGTTTTCTGGCAAAACACTTACGGTAAAATTGGACTCAAACCATAGAGTCTTGCCCAAAAACTAGAGCATCACCCTGATGTGGGTGATGACATCACTTCACGGGTGACATCATCACGGTGTGTGCACCAGAAGATCTCAGGATGGACCCTGTAGCCCCCCACTGGCAGCCAGGTAGGACCTGACAACCATAGCTATCAGTGGTTACTAATCATGATGGATATCTCTTCCTCTTTAGTATGCATCTTTAAAACACTTGCTGGGGAGCACTGGCAGGATGATGCTGTTGCAGTCTTCCTGTTTGTGGGCTTCCTAGAGGTAGCTGGCCGGCCACTGTGTGAACAGAATGCTGAACTAGATGACCATTTGACAGCAATGCTGATTCTGTAAACCTAGGCAGATCATGAGAGGGAGGGCAGGGAGGGTTGCATCTATGCTTAGTTCTCATAGCCCTTTCTTACACACCCAGGGAAATGTCAAATGCCACTTTGGGGTCAGGAAGCAATTTTCTCCAGGTCAGTTTGGCCATGGATCCTGGAGGGGAGTGTTTTGTTGTTGTTTTTTTGCCATCTTCGGGGCATGGAGCAAGGGTCACGGGGGAGAGGTTGTTGTGAATTTCCTGCATTGTGCAGAGAATTGGACTAGATGGCCCTGGAGTTCCCTTCCAATTCTATTATTCTATGACTAGATGGGCCCTTGGTCTGATCCAGCATCACTCTTCTTATGTTCTTATATTCTAAACAGGTACTCTAAATGAGAAGACTGAAACTGTTGGCTAGGGCTAGGACTGAGAGGGGAGCGGCCATAGCTCAGTGGTAGGACACAGGCTTTGCATGCACTCCTCAGTATCTCCACTGAAAGCATCTCAAGCCACAGAGAGATCCCTCTTGGCCCGAGACACTGGAGAACTGCTATTAGCTAAAACTGAATTAGAAGGAGCTATGTGCTGATCTAGTGCAGCCTCCCATTTCCCATACTATGGGCATGGTGTGGCGGTTAGAATGCAGAACCAGGATCTGAGAGACCCAGGTTCGAATTCCCACTCTGCCACAGATGCTTCCTGGGCCAATCACTCTCTCTCTCTCAAGCTAACCTACCTCACAAGGTGGTTGTGAAGATCCATTGGAGGAGAGGAGAATATGTACCACCTTCAGCAATCTGGACGGAGGCTGGCATGAAGATACACTAAATAATTATTGAGGTACATTCAGAACTATCGGTGACCTGTTGCATTACAATGTTTCCCCTAGTATATCTTGAACCAAAAGAATACACTCCCTTGCAGGATTTTTTATCAGTAGCTATTGCAGAATAAATGAACACAGAATATGACAACTAGAATGAAGTCTTCAGCAACATGGGGAGCTCAGGCAGGGATCCTTAGCGTGAACATTAGGGGGTTCTAAGCGTGCCCTGATTGTCATCTGTGGAAATGTCGGAGGGTATTCATATAATATATTTTTGGAGGGGGGAACAGAGAGTGAGATTTTCATAGCTTTACAAAACATATGCACAATGATGCCATATGAGGCAATCCATCTGTTCTTCTCGTAGCTTCCAGCCACATTATTTTAGGTGTTTAACAGTGCATCTCCCAGCCTTGCGTCTAGGCAATGGTACGGTCATGGGTCATTTCGTAGAAAAAGAGCTAGGGGAACTCATTAGTATAACTCATTAGCATATGCCACACCCCCTGACATCAGGGGCCTGGCGGTGGACCTGCAAGGCCAGCGGGAGTGCGAGGAAGCCCCGCCAAGGCCCTCCCTGGCCCCAGGCAGGCAGGGGTGGGGAGAGGCAGGGAGGAAGCAACTTACCCTCCCTCTTCTCCTGCCTCCTCCTGGCTGAATGAGGGCTGGAAGTGGGGCAGCCGGAAGCCCCCCTGCACCTCACCCGGGGGAACTGCGTTCCCCCCCGAAATGACCTCTGGGTACGGTGTCATTTACTTTAATAAAAATAGATGTCTCACTTAGGCCAGCATTTTTTTTTTTAGTAAAGTGACCCGGAGGAAAGGTGCATTAAAGGGGAAGGGTCTGTGGCTCAGTGATTCTACTTGTCATGCAGAAAGTCCCAGATTTAATCCCCTGCACCTCCACTTCGAAGGAACAGGTAGTAGGTGACGTGAAAGACCTCTGCCTGAAACCACAGAGGGGCACTGCCAGTCTGAGCAGACAATACTGATCTTGATGGACCGAGGGTCTGATTCAGTGTAAGGCAGCTTCATGTGTACATATGTAGAGGTATAGGAGCTGCACAGCCAGCATCACTGCAATGAGGGTGAAAGAGGTAACAACTCTTCTCATGTAATTCACAATGGAGGTAAGCATAAGCACCAGCTAAAGTTGGGACTTATGTGGCTTTACCCTTTGGTGATGCATATCAGCTATTCTCGACAATATAGGACAAGCATCCTATGATTAAAGAAAACGACTTTAGATAATCAAATCTCTACCAAAACCAAAACAACCATTCAGAGCAAATCTCCCCAAGGAAAAGGGACTGTTGTCCTCAGATTGATGCATTCTTAGCAAAACGAACTGGTAATACATGACATGTACACACATTACTCATCACAGACTTTTAGGAGTCCCAGAGAAGAAGAGCTGATTAGTTGTCTTGGGATACAAGAATATCTGTTAAGAGCCCATTCTATAAAGAAAGACTTTACACAACCAGTTTTTACAGAGCACTCTTCATTTGTGGTGAGAAATCCCCATATGTCTTTAGTCTCTCCTTGTGCTTATAATTGCATTTTATTGTGGGCATTAGATGTACAGCTACAGAACTACAGAACTTCTCCCACCAAAAATGAACAGAACCTATTTCTGTGGATCCAGAAGAACAGCCACATTAGATAGTAATATGAGCAATTTTTTAACAGGAAATTAGGGAGTATCAGCCATTGGATATACAGATGATGTCTCCATTTAGCTGGATAAATTATTTGCACCAGCATTCACACTACAAATGAAGACTGCAGGCAAATCTCAATTTCCCCTTTTTGCAGCAAGTAACACTGCTAAGATGTGCATTTTGTTGTTGATATTCAGTCGCACAGTCGAGTCCGACAATTTGCGACCCCATGGACCAGATCCTGCCAGGCCTTCCTGTCTTTCGCCGTCCTCTGAAGTTGGCTCAATTTCATGTTCGTTGCATCTATGACACTGTCTAACCATCTCATCCTTTGCCGTCCCCGTCTTCTTTGACCTTCAATCTTTCCCAGCATCAGGGTCTTCTCCAGTGAGTGCTCCCTTCTCATTTGGTGGCCAAAGTATTTGAGCTTCAGTTTCATTATCTGGCCTTCCAGGGAACAGTCAGGGTTGATTTCTTTTAGGATTGACTTATTTGAGCTTTTTGCAGTCCAAGGGACTCTCAAGAGTCTTCTCCAGCACCATAGTTCAAAAGAATCTATTCTTCGGCGCTCGGCCTTCCTTATAGTCCAACTCTCACAGCCATACATGACTACTGGGAATACCATTGCTTTGACCATGCGGACTTTTGTTGGCAGGGTGATGTCTCTACTTTTTATCATGCTGTTTAGGTTCGCCATCGCTTTCCTCCCAAGGAGCAGGCGTCTTTTAATTTCATGGCTGCAGTCACAGTCTGCGGTGATCTGGGATCCCAGGAACGTGAAGTCTGTCACTACTTCCACAGCTTCCCCTTCTATTTGCCAAGGAGTGATGGGGCCGGATGCCATGATCTTAGTTTTTTTGATGTTGAGCTTCAAGCCCACTTTTGCGCTCTCCTCTTTTACTCTGAGCAAGAGGCTCTTTAGATCCTCTTCACTTTCAGCCATTAGAGTGGTATCATCTGCATATCTGAGGTTGTTGATCTTTTCCCCAGCAATCTTAATTCCCGCTTGTGATTCATCCAGGCCAGCATTTCGCATGATGTACTCTGCATATATATTAAATAAGCAAGGTGACAGTATACATCCTTGTCGTACTCCTTTTCCTATGCTGAACCAATCAGTTGTTCCGTATCCGGTTCTAACTGTCGCTTCTTGGCCCTTATACAGGTTTCTCAAGAGACATGTGAGGTGGTCTGGTACTCCCATCTCTTTAAGGACCTGCCATAGTTTGTTGTGATCCACACAGTCAAAGGCTTTAGCATAGTCAATGAAGCAGAAGTAGATATTTTTCTGGTACTCTCTTGCTTTCTCCATAATCCAGCGAATGTTGGCAATATGATCTCTCGTTCCTCTACCTCTTCGAAACCCAGCTTGTACTTCTGGTAGTTCTCTATCCACGTACTGTTGAAGCCTAGCTTGTAGGATCTTGAGCATGACCTTGCTAGCGTGTGATATGAGTGCAATTGTGCGATAGTTTGAACATTCCTTGGCATTGCCCTTCTTTGGGATTGGAATGTATACTGATCTTTTCCAATCCTGTGGCCACTG